ATATATTTTCTGTTTGGGAGTTCCTTCACAGACTCGAGAATAGCTGGAATTCACTAAATCCTACCTGCATTCATTTACCAACTTTATACAACATTATGTATTATGTATGATGTGCTCAGGCATGAAAAACGTGGAATTCCTCATTCCTGGAGGAAATACACAGTGGGATTACATAACACAAGTTGCAATTTCAGGAACCTTTTTAAGATATACAGTTCATTATCATACATTGTGCATTCAGCTATGTGAGTCCATACTAATGCACACAGGTTACATATGCACATCCACTGACAAAGAAATACAAGACGTTTGACCATGGGAGCAGAAACTGGCCTGCATTTTAATTGCAGAGACGAGGACAATTGGCCTGTCCATTACAATCAATGATCACATTGTATTCTATGCATCAATAAAGAGTCACAAATAAACATCTGCTTCTGACATCATATAACACAAACATAAGCTATGTACGCTGGGGAAATAGTACTAAAAATGATATACAACAGGTCTTTGTTGCCAACATGTCTGTAAAGTACAAAGGCCTTTGGTTGTTTGGCTTTTGGGAGAAACAGGTTACAGTGTTTTGCTGTACATTGACGTCATCACACAATTTTATATTCAGTTCCAAGGCACATCGATAAAAGTAACTGCACAGAAAAGTACATATCCATGGCTGCACACTGCCAGAAACAATTATGTAAGTTACAACCAGCTTGGCAAAATTTTGGCTTAGTCAGGATTGAAAACCCACGTCTAATTTCATTTCTTCGACGTGTGTAACATTGGTTTTGGATAGTCAGGTGACACAGACGGTGGGATATGCAACACGCCCTCACCCCACGCAAGAAAAAGCAGAGTATACCACAGATACATAGAGTTAGTATTGAACGGTGCATCCTCAGGAGTGCACGTTCTAGCCCTTCGCAAATCAACGTGCGTTTCGAAAAAAGAAAGCGCAAGAGGGCAGCCGTTTCCGCTTCTGCCTCTCATCTGTACACTGTATGGAGGTAAGAACAAGCCAAGCCCCACGTCAACCCCAATGAACTTTTTCAGAATATGACAATTTCAGAAATATTTAGGTCTTGATTTCACAAAATGGCAAAGGAAGCAGCTATTACGGGCACCCTCTCATTGCCTCAGCTGTCCTTTCAGTGCTACATTTACACTGGTTTTGGGACAAACTGTCTTATCAACATCTATTAAACATCAGAATGATCCATTAAGTCCATTAAGTATGTCCAAATATCCAGCGGCAGTGGCAGACAGCGTGTGTTTCCTTCAGTATGGTTCAGTAGATTTCAGCTCAGTTCAGTTTGGGTGGGTGTAAAATGTGTGTCAGCTCATATTATTCTTCACCAGCTGTGCACGCGAAAGAAAGAAAGAAAGAAAGAGAGAGGAATAGATAGAAAGACAGAGAGAGCAAGCAAAGGTAATTAGCTGTGGATGATGAGAGAATAGTTCTTGCACTTCAGGCTTGAAGGCGCTAAATACCTTAACTGTAGTGGGTGAGATTGTGAAATGCGTTTCTCACTGTGATACACACACACACACACACACATTTGGCACAGACAGCACAAAAATAAAGATATACAGAAAGATATTTCTATTTTTGATGATTCACATGAGTCACAGGTTTTCTTCATATGGTAATCTAATTACACTCCAAACAACGAAAAACTTCAGTTGTGGGCATGTAAAGCCTTTGGACTTGTGCTGTGTCCGATTATTACACACATGCACACACACACAGTCCACTGGGTCAGTATGATGCAGGATTGGTCACCCTTATCGCCTTCTGCATTACTCAGACAAGGGTACAGGGAGCCTGCGTCTGTATGACACATTGTGGGCAAGGCTAGAGAGTGCGTTTATATTTGACTGCTTTATATAGATGGTATGGAACTGTACTGTGCCTATACATGCATGCCCACAATTGTGTGTTAAACTGTGTGGTGCTTGACCTGTAAGTGAACGTGGGCCTGACCTTGCAACAGATACTCCAACTAGCAGTGATAGCACAGAGAGAATGTCATGACAAATTATAGGCTGTGTGGTCCACTACCAACTGGGAGACAGAGTGTGGGGGGAGGCACATAATACTTTTCTGCAGTAACCTCCCAGGACAAGCCCTGTCTGGCTCCTCATCTCTTTTGATTGCACTGATTGATGGTTTCTGACTTGACTGATACACCGGGACAAAGTGAATCTGACACTGCAGCATATGGTGGGTGACCTTATTACTACAGATGCTTTGCAGTTGTTTGACAAATCTCCCAGCAACCAGGTGTGGCTCCATCATGGAGGTCCATTGGCAAAGTCACTGTGCACAAACAGGCTGATAGCTAAAACGGAAATAGCTGTCTGCCGTGCATGTGGGCTCATTCAGTCAGCATTAATGGAGTGATAAGGTTTCCAAATTCAGGTTATTGTGACAAAGTCTTTTGTTGTAGCTCCTTTGGCTCTTACTCGACTAGGAAGCTGTAGCTTAGTGGAGTGCGCCAAGTTAACTAAGCAAATTGGTATTGTTTTAGCTAGCTAATTAACCAGCAAGCTAATTTATAAGATTATAATGACGGCAAATTTATGTTAGAGTTTAATAACCGTATATTTTCATTGGAGCTGTATGTAAAAATGAAAAGACATTCCAATTCACAGCAACGATAGCTGCTGGCGGCTCTGTGGCTGAGCTCAATGCTAACATCAGCATGCTAACATGCTCCAGTGACAATGCTAACATGCACATATTTAGCAGGTATAATGTTGACCATGTGCACCATATTTATTTAGCGTGTTAGTATGCTAACATTTCCCAATTAGCACTCAACACAAAGTACAGCTGAGGCTGATGGGAATGTCATTAGTTTTGGACAAAAAAAAATTTAAATATCGAAAGGTACTGGGCAAATAAAACATTTGACTTGACGATGGTTCTAGATGAAAAGTTAAGGGATCACCAAAGTCGTTAAGGTTCATCCTGTGGGGACCATGAATGCGCATGGCTCCTCCATGATGTTCCACTGACTGATTGATTGATTGATTGATTGTTTCATCAATCAATCTGTCATCCTGACATTCCTGTTCGTCACAAGAAGCCACTATATATACAGAGTAAAGGGATATACTGGAGTTGTTTGCACACTTAACTATAGCTGCCTGCTTATTGTTGACTGTTCACCCGGTGTACTGAATGTCACTGAGAGACGCAAGATACATTGATTCAAGGTCATGATAGTGTTTTTTGTTATAAACACAATATATATATATATATATATATATATATGAGTACAATTCATTAACAATAAGTGGCCTTGGTAGAAATGTAGCTTGTGTCATATATGTGTATATAGGTGTGTATATATATTGATTTTACACATTGAGTTCAGTTTACTCGTCATGAGGACTAACAGTCAGCCTGTTGAATAATATAATCTGCGGCTCTAGAAGGAGCCCTCCAAAGTCTAATAAATTAACCCATGTTGATCAGGGTTAGCTCAGCTTGGTATGGGAGACTAAAATTGTATAACAGGAAGTCTGTGTTACAAAATAAGAAGTTTGAAAGACGTGGGCATTTAACACACCAGGAGGGTCTGATGAAAGATGCTTTCCAGTTGCTCGGGAAATGTAGATCCATTGTTTTGGGGGCATACTAGAGACTAAATGCTCCTGATGCTTCGGCTTTGTATTCTTTTAAAAATAAAAGAATACAAAGAATATCACTGCAATACAGCTTTAAGCTTAAATTCAATGGGCTGTGGTAGAGTGTGATTATATATATGTATATATATGCATTTATTCTGCCTACTTCAATCTCTCAAGGTTTCTCTGCATGTGTTGTTCTTAATAGTAGTAGTAGTAGTGTAGATACAATACATACACAGGCTTTGCTTCATCTATCTCCGTATCCCCCTCTCTCCCTCCCTCTTTTGACTGCATGACACATTTTCCTGCCTTCTGTCAAATTTAGGCATTTTTGCAAGCACACACTGGCTGAACCAAACTTGAACATGAACTCAGGAGGAAATCGTACATTGTCAAAAACACAGCACTTTACAAGTAGAAATGGGCTCTTTACAGTGGCACTGCTGGCACAGGGAGCAGCTATTGTCAAGACCAGGATACAGTGAAGTATAAAGTACACACGATGTGTTTCACAAACATAGTTTCAGAGCTGTCCTTGATGCATCACGATACAGAATATTACAGCAAGGATTGCCTTTATAATTCATTAATTTTGTTTAAAACATGGAGTCATCCATGTGCAGAACTTTCCCCCAGAGGTTGACGAAAAACCATTTTGTATATACAAAGTCAAGCTGTTTTAAAGGGAGTAAGGTCAGAACAGCTGCAGGGATGTTTTCCCATCCTTCCACTTAATCAATAATCCGTGATGTTAAATTCAGAGTTTACGGATCAATGCAGCTCCTCCCGCCGAGATGCCAGCTACAGAGGGAAAAGAGCATCCTTCGTTTTCTGGAAATGAAAATGTCGTTTTAGTAGGGCGTTGCCATTTTGTTGCCCTGTTGATTATGTAAGACCAGACTAATCAGCTGGTATGAATAAAACATGACCATAAACTATTCAGGGTTGTAGTTTCTTATGTTTCTCTCTATAGAATAACAGTGCTGGCTGTTTTCCAGTATTTCCACATTCAGAGAAATCAATGCCGACCCTTCATAGCTAAAAAAAAAAAAAAAACACTCCGTCAAGGAGGACATGGGTGATGCTCAATCCTATCAGATCTCTCTGCCATGGGTGAACTAGCCCCGATACTTCAGCAGGTCAGCAGGTCCACAGCTATCCACTCACCGGTTCTTTGTCTTGTTTTGATATTGGTTCAGTCTGCATGACTTCTGACAACTCGATAGAAACCTCAAGCTGACCAGCATGAACTCGTATTTATGTTTTATTTCAACATCATCTTGTCTCTACTGAGTAGAAAATCACTTCAGTCAAGATACAATTTTGCTCCACCTCAGGGCGAAACAGCTCAAGTTGCCTCATTAACCCAAATATCAAGAGCTTCAAGCTGGAGTCAGTGTACTTTCCCTGACCTCTGGAAATTGTTTATTTTTCACTTGGACTTTGTTCATGTGTCAATGTCCATGAGCAGCAGCTATTACATCATCCTCCTACCCCCGCATCTTTGAACAGGGGTCACAAGCAGTGCAGTGGCGGCCCATTAGTCTGGAAGCCCCAAGCTCAGTCTCTTTGGCCCCCCTGGATGTGACAGCTGCTCCTTTACTCTCAGATGCTGGTCTGAAGCTCGCCATTGAGCAGGGCAGCATTGTGAGTCTCCAAGTTGGCGTTGATGATTGCAGCATCGTTAGCCATCCTGCTCCTGTCTGCCCTGCTGTCACTGCGCTCTATCTCGTCCAGGCCTGCCACCTTTTTCAGACACAGAACGTTCTGAAAGCTCTTCTTGAAGTTGTCCGATAGGAAGGCGTACAAGATGGGGTTTGCGCAGCTGTTGGCGTAGCCGAGCACCACCACAAAGTCAAAGGTGCTCTTCACAGCAGAGGTCGGGTTGATGGAGCTGGTGACTGAAGTGACGTTGAAAACGTAGAAAGGCAGCCAACAGAGGACGAACACCGCCACCACGATGGACACCATGCGTGTCACCTTACGCTCAGAGCGTTTGCGTTTGGTGGAACCCACTCGAATGCCAGACGACTTAACCTGGCAAAGGAATGAACTGTCAGTGCCTTAGAATCTCCCAAATATAAAAGCACAATGTTCACACTGAAATACATAGAAACTAGAATATAGATATGTAATATGTACTAAAGCTTAGGTACACATAATGCATTCTGTGGATTTGCTTTTTTGCCAAGAGTAAGATAAAAAGATTGATACCACAATACAACTAAAAAGCTACAATCTGGAGATCCTAGTATGTTATCCTAGCTTAGCATAAAGACTGAAAGCAGCTAGGCTTGCTCTGTCCAAATTGGTAAAAAATATCTGTTCCATAACCGAAGTGCAAAAACATCATATTGTGTTTTTATGTAAGGTTATGTACTGGACTATTTCTTGGCCAGTCGCAGTGACTTTAACAAGCAAAATATAATGTGTTAATTAGTGAGCTTTAGACATATTGATGCCAAGTTGAGCTAGCAGTGGTGTTTTCATCTAAGTTTTGGCAAGAAAGCAAATAAGTTTATTTTATAAAATGTCAAACTATTGCTTTAAGAGGCAAGGAAACGGTTTATGATCTTGATTATTCGAATTATAACCAATTAATGTGTGCTAGCTAGCTTCGGAACATCTAAAGCCAGATGGCTATCATACTTCCACATTGGATGGCAATCCAAATAAATTAAATATTCTAGACCCGTAGCCAGATATAAGAATATCTCAATATTGATCTTTATTCACACATGTAGAGGAAGGGCTTCCTACTCTCACTCACTGACCGTGGGACTCAACTTTGAACATGCTCTCAAGTCACGCATCTATTTCCTCATGCAGTAAAAAAAATATAAAATAGTTATCTACACAGGAAATAAGAGAAAGTCTCAAAGTATTTTAGTTAATTTAGTTAATTTCTGTGCACTCAGGACGAAGTCTGAACATTTTTTCCAGAGCCCAAAGCACAGAGTTTGTGTATTAGTGAAAAATAATAACTTAATAACTTAAATAACTTAGTTAGGACAGGTAAAGTTAGATTAATTAGGTTCACCAATAATGTAATCCAAGTTTTGCCAAAACATGGATTTTACTGACCACGTTGTAGTGGACTGTATGCTACTGAGAGGTTGTTTTGTCCACCCCATTAACAATTGTGATGCAGCACCACCACTAACTACGCCCTTGATAAATAACATATAATTGAATCAATGCCTCTATGACAACAAAAACTAAACATAATGATCTTCCCAAATGTAGAATTTGTGGCAGATCTGTTGTATTGGATTGCATTAAATTGTATAGGTATGCCCTTGCTTACTGAATGCATTATGCTGGAACAGTTCACCATGCATTGGTATTCATTCTAGCTGTTATTTATCAGAGAGTACAACTGGTGAATAGCTTAATTTAGCTGCCAAGGAAGATGAATTGCCTTTGTAGTCTTATCAGTGAGTATTTGTGAAAGCACCTCTGACATAATCAATTATATATATGATATATATATATATGTGTGTATATATATATATATATATATATATATATATTGACCAATGTGATTTCTCCTTAATTTACTTTTCATACAGTGGTCCTGTTTGTAGCTTTAGGTACTTGCCAACCCTCCAGGGTCAAGTTTTTCAGTGCCCCCTTCCCCCTTGTCCTGCAAACTCCACATTCAGCAACAAAATTACTCCATAAATTCACTAGAATACAGTGAAACAGCAGTCTCTGAAATGAACAATTTTCTGCTGGAAGATCCCTAGGAACTCTCAGAAAATATGCTCTACTGATGTAAGCTGTGATGCCTGGTTGTTACCATATATATATCATTGATCATGATTACTGATTCGGCTTTTCAACTATAAATGCTTTAAAATTGTGAAATTTGCTGGTGAATCTTTCAAACTAAATTCCTGGGTGTTGTGGAGTGATGACCCCGACCCCTGCGGTGGGTAATGTCATAGAGCGCCTGCTCATAAAATGCACCAACTTCACTGATACCAAATCTTAAAATAAAAAGTTGGTAGCCCTGGTAGAGGCGGGTCTCACCTTGACTATGATGAGCAGGTAACACATGCATATGACTGTCAGCGGCAGGAAGAATCCAATGAAGAAGGTGTAGAATATGAAGGATTTGTAATATACATCTTGCGGCTCCGGCCACACGATACCACATACTGGGACCTTGTTCAGGCCACTGAAGATCATAGTAGGTAGGATGACTAACAGCGACACACCCCATACTGTCAGGTTAATTAGCTTGGCTACACGAGGCTTCCGCCATTTTGTGGACTTAATAGGGTGGACCACAGCCAAGTACCGATCAATGCTCATCACCATCAGACAGAAGATGCTGGTGAATTGATTGAGAGAGTCTGAGAGGGTAGAGGAGAGAGAGTGGGGGAATGGAGAAAGACAGGTGAGAAGAGGATATCTATTAAGTAACAGCATCAGTAATTGTTCTTTTTATTAAAACAGGAGGTGAACTAAGTGTAATAAAGGCTGATAGTAAGACTACAGTCTAAATATTCATATACTTAAAGTTCAACATAAAATACTCTTATTTGCAATTTTACGTTAAAGCTGAAGATACTGCCGGGAGATGGTTAGCTTAGCATCTGACCGGAAAACAGGGTAAAACGGCTAGCCTGGCTCTGTCCAAAGTTTTAAAAAAATTCCACCTACCAGCACCTCTAAAGATTGTTAACAAGTTATACTCTATCTTTATAGTCCAATCCATACAAAGTGTAAAAAAACAACAGCGCAACAACACATTTTTAGACTTTTTGATCTGGTAAAACAAGCAAGATGCAATGTATTAATTAGCGAGCTTTGGTAGACTAATTTTAGAGCGAGGCTAGCTTTTCTCCCTGCTTTATGTCTGTTAGTAAACTAAGCTAACAACCTGGCTGTAGATTTATATCTAATGAACATATATAAGAGTGGTATTGATCTTCTGATTTAACTTCCGGAAGAAAAGCAAATTTGAGTATTTCCAAAAATGTCAAACTATTCCTTTAGAGTAGAATAAAAACTTCAAATTGCAACTGAAGTCTTAACATTTCTTCCGAAAGTGAATATGTTTGTCTATCTTCTAATTGCAACCATAGAAGAGGATAATATCCCTAAAAGTAACACTTCTCCTGCTTTCTGAAGTGCACCGTTATCCTTCTGCTCAACACCTACCTACAGTCATGATCACCCTGCAAAGCACCTCTCCAAAGGGCCAGTGCACCAGTGCAAGCTGCAGGGCAATGAACGGCAGGCTCATCATGCACAGAACATCTGCCACCGCCAGGTTCAGGATGTAGATGTTGGTCACCGTCTTCATTTTAGCGTAGCGCAGGATTACATAAATGACCAAGGTGTTGCCGCACAGCCCCACAGCGCATACCATGAAGTAGATTAAGGTGATGACCACCGAGCTGGTCTTGTCCTGGTGAGGCTCACGGGTCTCTGTGATGTTCAGGTCCAGGTCGGACTCATTCCCCTGGATGTAGCTATCGTACAGGAGGGGTTCAGGGATAGAAATGTTGGGGGGTGTCGGAAGAAAGGGCCACTGATCCAAGGCCATGATGGCAGGGGTGGTGTTTAGGTTATCAAAGGGCTACAAGTGGGTCCGAGATGGCGAAGGGTAAAGGTGTACAAAGGGGTTGGAGAAGGTAGATATTACAAGGGTAAAGGGACTTCAGGTGGAAAGTTCTAAGATAAGCCTGTGGTACTGGGATTTTTTCAAACTATGGAGTCTCAGGGTTTGGGGTTCTGGGGATTGGGATGACTGGGGATTTTCATTAACGAGGAACCGCAAGTATCACATCCCAGCTGTAGAGAAACAGTAACAGAAGACAGATCTATGGAGAGGGAGACACGAGACAGAGGAAGACAGAGTGAAAGAACAGTAAGTATGGCTGAGAAACAGAATATTTCCTTTAACAAAAAATAATACTCCATCAAGATCCATGGCAACAGTTGCAAGGTTACTTTACATAATGGCTTTCACGCCTTCAATCAGGCAAACATGTAAAATATTCTCTCTAAAGAATACTCTCATCCTCAACACTACATTCCCGTCACTGCAAGCATTTGGCAGAGACATGGAGGAGATTGTCAAAGCCAGCCAAGTCCAAATTTGGGCCATTATGCTTTCTAAAAATAACTTTTGCCCATTGTCTCCTTCATTTGAGAAACACATCAGAGAAAACCAAAAAAACATCGGCAGGTCAAAGGTGAAACGCAAACCCAAAGTACTGGGCCAACAGCCAGCAGGACACCTTACATCACTCAACCCAAACACACACAACTTTCTATGTGATGACATTAATTTACTCTTTTAGGGAGGAAGATATTTAGTTTAAAACTTCACAGAAGCGTGCAGGCATGGGTGACTACAAAACTCCTCACGACTTCCATTTTAGTGTCATATTTTTATTGGATGTCAAAAATTTCAGCCAGATCTCATCTGATCTTACGCTGTTTTCTCACTTTCTAACTCAGTCCAGAGCATATATGCTAAACTGAGTCCAGGTCAGATGTGTGCATATGTGTGTTTGTGAGTGTGCCTCCCCCATGTATGCATACATGCAAAAAGGTGCGCCTGAGCGAGAGACGGCGAGGGCACTGTGCTGCCGGAGACAAATGTTTATTCAATTGATCTTGGGGACAAACAGCTCTGACACTGTGGAAGGATCACTCACTCCCCCACTGCAGTGACAGCAAATGTCTCAACAGGGACATTAGTCCAGTTGTTGCTTTCATAATTTATCTGAAATACATGTGATTGGCACATGTGGACCCACTTTGGACAGTCCACTTTGTGCTAATGAGAGGTATTGAGAAAAAGGGTTGGGTAAAAATACTTGTTATCACAGATAATAACAGCGCACTTGTATCTACATGTGGTGAATGTGAGTCCATTCAAGGGTTAGACTACTGAGGATAATTGTTATTTTTATTCATCTACAAAGTGTTTTTCCTTGATAAATTAATTACACATTTCATACAATGTAAAAAAAACTTACCACAATTGCCCATCAGTAATTACCAAAGCCAAAAAGGATGTTTTTCAACTTTATATTTTATCACCATAACAGACAGATACCCAAAGATATCTGAGTTTTAAAGACAAAAAAAACCCAATCATTTTCGATATTGTCACACAACACTCTGGCAAATACTACTCCTCTAGTGGCCATTCACCTTTGAAACAATGGAGGTTTGACCATTTCCAAATGGCTACTCGCAGTAACCGGTTTGCTGCGTATTACGTATTTGACTCAGATGGCTGCAAAGGTGGCAATCTGCAATGTAACTTGTCTAAACCTGATTTGATAAGCTCCTTACCAGCCTAAAACTTTTGAGTCTAAGATTGTGTGTTTTTTAGATGCCAAAATTATCCACCAGCAGTTTTAGTTTCTCACCCTTAAGAGAAATTGCATGGCACACACACTGTATTCATATCATTTTAAAGGAATTCATTGGATGTAAGTGTAGTCAAATTTCAGATTTAACTGCTGGCTGATATGGCTCACCTGCAGTAACTGCGACGGGAATGGCAGACCCCACCACTGATAATGACACAACCATATAGACAGAATACAAATTTACCATAAATATTATTTGAAAAAACAGGGTCTGATTATATGAAAATCTTTAGGGATTATCACAAAGTGCAAAGTTCTAAATCCACAAAAACAATCTCTATCATCCTTTACAAACAGATATCAGTTCAGCTCCATTATAGGCATATGTGCGTGTGTGTGTGCCCACCAGTGAGTCAATAAGTGAGAGAGCTACAGGGGAAAGTGCTCGCAGAAAACCAATCTACTCCAATAATACATCCACTAATAAAGGGATTTACAGTATTATTTGCTAGCAGGAGGCACAGACTAATTACTGTATGAGAGTCAGTATTATTCAGTAACATCTTGTAGTTTAATTATAAAGCAGGGTAATTGTAATATTAAGTGTAAAGGAGGATTTAGTGGTCTATTAAAAGTCTTGCAAAAGAAAAAGCCTAATCCACTACTTGAGACTCACAGAAAAACATAAATTGCAGGATGGATGTGAGGAGCAGCTCAGCACTGACTGTGCATAGATGAAGTGATGGCAGAGAAGCAGCTGGAAGCAGCCTCACACTAACCTGCAGGCTATGTGTGATAAATGTCCAGCTCAACGGGAGACTTTTTTTCATTCACGGTAAAGCTGAGACTCTCATCCGATAATGAGCAGGTTGGCTTATCTTTCTTCTCGGGGACAACTTTGACATGAAATGACAACTGCAGGCATCAAACCTTTGACCTCTGAAATGAAAGACAGACCCCCTTTACTCCCTGACATCTTTCCTACGCAATTATTTCCCGTGGACATAATTATGGGTTTCTCCACTGGAGATGAGAGAGCACTCATCTACCATCCTCTTATACCAAAAGGCAGAAACCGATCTCAGATTGCGCGTAAAGCACGTGTTTGTGGGTTGTTTTTTTTTCCAAAATGTCATCTGGCTGCCAATAACTAAATAACCCCTGCGCCATGGTTTGGCACGCGTGTTCATGGTAGGTTTGATGAAAATGTTACTTTTCACATACAAAATAGAGCTGACTGCACTACAGCGCGCAAACACAAGCCAAAGTCCACACAGAAATGCCTGTGGATGAAGACAAATTGAATAAGCTCGACTAAAAATCAATCAATCAATCTTTCTTAATCCTTTCCCCATAACATCACTTACTTTCAAACAGAAAACTTCAAGTCATATCAAGTCCATCGTGGCAAGGTGTCCTTCAGCAGAGAATACGGAACCCATCCGCTCCGAAGCGGCACTGACCTGCTGGAAAGCTGCATCCCGCCAGCCTCTCCATCCACCTGCTCTCCCACTGTTACGCACGGCGCAGGCGATCAACGGCCCACTCGCCACCTTCACCAGAGCTGGAGGTTGTACTACGTCTCTCAGGTCATTTTACCTCCAAAAAATAGTCCGCGTTTGTTAACAGAAACTTTGGCCGTTTGACCGCGTCTAAAAAAGAAACGCCGTAGTGCGCTCACAGTGCGCTGCGTCCAAGCGGAGAGTCTTGGCACCGAATCCCCCCGCGACAAGAAACCGGAGCGGCAGGACGCACGACTGCACCGGCGAGAGAGAGAGGGAGGGAGAGACAGAGAGAGAGAGAGAGAGAGTCACCCTGTGTGCGTCGGTGTCCTGCAGATTGCTGATTTTGAGTCACGCATATGTGTTGGCTCTTTCTCTGGTGCCTTGTATCATTAAGATTATCATTAAGAGCGCAGTTCTACAGCATGTATTTAGCAAAATCAAGATAAAACAATTTTAAGTGGAATATTCGATGTAGCACATACCTGAACTTGCATCAGTGACACATATTTTTTCTTACTGGACCTCCAGATGCATCAATGACGTTTTTTTTTTGTATTATTCTGCCAAAATACATGCAGAGAAAGGAAACATCAAACCCCAGCTGCAACACAGGATGATGCCGCAATTACATTAGTCTTTTCCCAAATCCATCGGCTTCCACTGCAATTATTTCAAGTGTTATCCAGGCCTTCCACATGCTGATCTCAGTCAATGGTGCATATTCTTGTCAGCCAACAGGGATGACACTCAGATGTGGGGGATGAAGCCAATCCAACGGTCCTTCTTCCGTCTTTATAAAGGAGGAGTTATCAAGCAAGTGCAGATGGCCAGTATCTTCCACGACCTCTCAGCGCAGAGCTCCATGAGAAAATGTCCTGCCACTTCTCTCAACATAGCAACACAAAAGTGCTGCTATTATTACTACCAGCTGTTGTCCTATCAAAGATTAATAGTTCTATTTATGCCCAAAATGATAGGAGGGACTGAAGCTGCTCAGAGGGGGAAACCCAATAAAAGAAGGGTTTGTGAAAGGGTTCACGTCTTCCGTTATCCTGTGCAGAAATCCCCATCCATGTGAATCAGTGTGCAGTCACGAGGGTTACTGGTTCAGGTGTGTGTTTGCTGTGCTCTGGTTTGAGGCCAACAAGTTCTCTGGGTGAGTTCACTATTGTGTGTGTCACCGCGGACCACATTTGACCTGCAACCATGCATATTTAAATGATCAGCAAGGCCGAAGTAGTTAAAGTTAGCATTGTAGCGTTTTTCCCATTAGTTTGACATTTTGGGAAATACCCTTATTTGCGCTCTTAAGATTGACACCACTCTCGTATATGTAAGCCTACAGTACGATGAAGCTAACTTTACAGCCAATAGTCAGTACGTTTAATCTAGTATAGCTGGGAACGGGGAAACAGCTAGCCTGGCGCTGGTCAAAGGTAACAAAATCTACCTACCAGCATCACCTCTACGGAGCCCCATAGGGGACACGGTGGAGAAAATAAAATACATAGCTAGCCAAAGTCAAACTGAAACTCTTTCCATTGCTCAGGATTTACTGTTCCCCAAACGTATAAAGCAATGACCTGAGGTACTTTTGTTCCTCAACCTATGTATTTCTTTTCCCCCCCATGTCCCCTTAGGGGCTCAGTAGTGTTCAGACAGAAGACAAAGCAATTGTTTGCCTCGTGTCTTTCATATTTGGCAGCGTGTGGCCTGTTGTATTGAAGTTCATCATTTCAGAGTTTATCTGGGGCAGCACGTTTAATTTGGCGAGCAGATCGCTAGCTGTTGTGGTCTCTCTTTGGGTTTCTTACTTGACGAAAACTATTATTGGTGATTCGTTAATCATTAACGGGTGTCATGAGGCTCTCTATTAACCCTGGGGTTTCCAGCTACAAGAGGAAGTGGTGGGTTGTTAACAGCTACGTTTCAAGCCACGTAATCAGAACCAT